GTCTTCCCAACATCTTCATTTAGAATTCTTAAGGTTTCAAAAAAACTTTTTGAGACATTGGAGATCTACTTGAAGTAAGAAATAATACAGAGAAATCTTGTATAGTCTTTAGATAGTTTCCCTCAATGGTAATACCTTGAAATTTTGTCTAATATCACTTCAAGGTTATTTATATAGATAGAATCGAGATACAGAACATTTCTATCACAAAAGGATCTTACGTTGTGTTGTTGCCCTCGTGTAGCCACACCCACTTGCCTCACCTTCCCATCCCACCTTAAGCCCTAGCAACCACTAATCGTTCTCCATTTCTATAAATTTGTCATTTGATATATGTAACCTTTGGGGATTATCTTTTTATTCATCCAAATAATTCTCTGGAGAGTCATCCAGGTTCTTATGTGTAACAATAGTTTGATCCTTTTCATTGCTAAGTAGCATTCCATGGTATGAATGTATCATCATTAACCATTCACCTCATGAAAAACATCTGAGTTGTTTCAGGTTTGAGATATTATAGACAAAGCTGCTATAGACATTTGTCTACAGAATTTTCTGTGAACATAACTTTTCATTTTTCTGGGATAAATGGCCAGGAGTATAACTGCTGGGTCTTATGTTAGTTACATGTTTACTTTTTTTCCATTTCTTTTTAGTTGACACATAATAGTTGTACATATTAGGGTAATAGGATATCCATCACCTCAAACACTTATTGGGAAAATTCAAAATCCTGTATTCTAGCTTTTTGAACACATACAATAAATTATTAACTATTAATATATTTGTCCTACAGTGCTATAGAACCCTACAACTTATTCCTCCTATCTAGCTGTAATTTTGTACCCATTAACCAACTTCTCCCTATCCTGCCCTCCCTGTTCTCCTTCCCTGCTCTAATAACCATAATTCTACCCTCTACTTCTACAAACTCAATTTTTTTTTAGCTCCCACATATGAGTGAGAACACACAGTATTTACCTTTCTGTGCTTGAATTATTTCACTTAACACAATGACTTCCAGGCTCATTCAGGTCATTATGCTCTTTTTTTTTTTATTTGTTTCATTCTTTTTCGATTCTGTTTCTCTATCTTGTCTTCTTTTATATTAAACAAAACGTTTTTAGTATATCATTCAATTCATCTATTGCTTCACTAGTGGGTCATTTATTTTTTTTTTTTGCTTTTTTTTAAGTAGTTGCTCTAGGGATTACAAAAGGCATCTTCAACATATCACAATTTACTTACCATTAAAATTGAATTATCTCCTGTAAATCATATATTTTATTTCCATTTATATTCCATTTTTGTGCTATTATTGGCATGTATATTCAATTAATTTATAATGTAAATTCAAAAATATAATACTATTATCTTTGCTTTATACATCTTTTAAAGATTTCAATAGAAGAAAATGTATAGTGATTAATATACATACATTTACCATTTCCAGTGCATTTCAGTATTTCCTGTATATCTGAGTTACCATCTGGTATCATTTCTCATTAGCTATAGGACTTCCAGTCCATCTTGAAGTATAGGTCTGTTAGTAACAAATTATCTTTGATTTTGTTGATCTTAACATGTCTTTATTGACCTTCATTTAAAAAAAACAAGTTCACTAAATATAGAATTCTTGATTTTTTTTCTTTAGCACTTTGAATTATCATCCCCATGCCCGTTAATTTCCACTATTTCTGATGAGAAGTCAGATATTTATATAGTGTATCATTTTTTTCTTTTGTTATTTTCAAGGTTTTCTCTCTATCTTTGCTTTTACCAGTTTGACTATGATATGCTTTGCTGTGGTTTTCTTTGGGTTTATCCTAATTGGATTTGTTGAGCATATTGGATCTTTAAATTAATGGCTTTTACCAAACTCAAGAAATTTTTGGCCAACATTTCTTCAAGTATTTTTTCTGTCACTTTCTTCTTTCATTCTGTCTAGTACTAAAATTATTCATGTGTTGAACTACTTGATGATGTTACACAGGTCCAGGCTACTTTGGCTATTTTTGTTCAATCTTTTTGGTCCCTGTTTTTTTGACTAGCTACTTTTTCTTGTTCTATCTTTAAATTCACTGAATTTTCTGTTTTCATTTTAAATCTGTTGTTGAGTACATTGAAAGAATTTTCACTTCATTTATTATGCTTTTTAGCTCTAGAATTTCCATGAAGGGGGATATTTCTATTTCTCCATTGAGATTTTATATTTCTTCGCTCATTGATACCATGTTTCCTTTAATTCTTTGAACATGTTTTTCTTAATCCTTTGAATATATTTATAATAGTGTCTTTGCTGCTAAATCTAACACCTGCGCCTGCTTGAATCAGTTTCTACTAACTTCTATTTTTTAGAGTATTTTTCACACTTTCCCATTTTTTTTTGTAGGTCTGATAGTTTTTGGTTGAAAAATGGATAATGTAGATAATACAATGCAGCAGCTGTAGTATCTATTCTGCTCTTTTCTCAATTTGTTGCTGTTGTTGTTATAATAGGCAATTAACTTGCCTGAATCTCCTGTCATGTGCAGCAACTGATATGTCTGCTTAGGAGTCTAAACAAAGACCTCAAAACATTCATTAAACATCTTAGAATTTTATGATTGTTAGAGATTCAAAGTTTAGAAATTTAATATTTTTATTAGACATATTTTTATCTCATTTCTCTTAAGTCTTACACATCCAATATAATTCAGCTGTCATAACAGAAAGCTAGTATCTTACTTTGTTATAAATTCAAATCAGTATTTCAGACATCTAATAAAAACTGTCATAAGTATTTGAAAAATTGTGAAAAAAGCTAAATTTAAGATATTGAATTAAAAACTCAGGCTACTAAAATATACTATAATTTTTTTGGAATTAGGTTCTACCTAAAAGATAGTATAATTTTACTTCTCTAGATGAAATAATTTTAACTAAAATGCCAGGATAACATTTTAATGGAATTTATTTAAAATAAAAATATTCTTAAAGAATCAGAACTACAGTAATAAAGTGAAACATCTATTGCTTAAAAATATACCGTATCATACAGCATAGGATTAATACTCACTTAGTTCTTACAACACACCATGCCTCTTCTAAAACATAATAATGCACATGTAACTCCAACAATTTATCTCTTACTTCTTTTGGGGATTTTCGACTATATGCAGAATAAACTATTTTTGTCCGGGCCCTTTAAATTTAAACAACAGGTTAAAAGATTTTTAAATAAATTATAATAAAATAGACTAAAGAAATCTTACTAGCAAATTAAAATCTCAATACTCACTATAAGGAACATTGATATATATGACCCAAAACAGCATAAATTATTTTGGGATAGCAGCTCCACATTCCTACTTATATTTTGAATGTGCTAAAGCTTAGAGCCATTTTAATTTTGCAATATTGCTTGTTAGTGTATAAACTAGTCTAGAGTTGTACTGGGTAGTAGAATAGCAACATATAAAGATATAAAGTTTTCATCATATAATTCATAAAATTATTATGGAATATATTCTGATAGAGACTGAATGTAGTCAAAACATAGATTTCAATAGATAATTTCATCCACAGAAGCTCTAAGAAACACATGAGTTGAAGCTGAATGTATCAAGTAGAACATTTTGACGACAGGCATCTATGGTATCCGAATAGGTAGAAAAAGCACCTTAACAGAGTCTTGAGAAGTAGGGAGGCTCACCAAATCATGGTACAACAGATAATTTGGCTCTAAGTGGGAGTTCTCATGAAATCCTGAACAAACCACCACTTATGCATTAGACATTACTTAGGATTTCAAGCATATGGGATGCCCAATTACAAGAGCCAGACATAAAACTTAAAATAAATAAAAAAATTACCTCCAATAATAGGCCAAAAGTCCATTAAAAGGAAAAGATTATCCTTACAATTACTACAATGATCAAAATAATTTTTTATAAGCTTCAATTTAAGGTAAACAAAATTTTAGACCTCAATGGAAACTAGCTAGAGTTCTCATAATCAACTAGCAAAATACCCTAAATTTTCATAAAAGCATGTAATATATAAAATCTCATGTACTTTTTCTACCTGTTAAAAAAGGGTAGACTCTTTGGCCACCAATAAAATCTAGAAATGGTTTCTTAAACCAGAGAGGGGCTTGTGGTCTAGAGCAGGGGTTGCCAAACTATGGCTGCAAATCAAATACATCCTACCGCCTCCCACTACTACTTAGGAGTTTTACTGAAATACATACACACACACGCACAAGCCATAAATATGTGACATGTTTTTCACTTTAAGAAAAACTGGCTTTTGCTTTTTTCAGTTTTCAGAAGTTTGTTAAGCCTGATTCAGAGGCAACAGGTACATATTGTCATTTCTGGATGGTAATTGTAATTTTTTTTTTTTAACTTTCAGCACGAATATGCAAATGAGAATGTGTGTGTGGTGTGTGTGTGTTTGTGTGTATGTGTCTAGATTCTTCCCAGTTCCTAAGAATCAGTAATAAGCAGCAAGTGAGTCTGGTTGAATATTCAATCGGTCGCCAACCTCAAGTCTGCATCCTCATAATGTGGGTGATTCACAATGGGATGAAGTGTAGACAGCTTGACACTGGCCATTGTAGGCATGGCACCTGCGAAAACAGCATCTAAAAAACACAATTATACTCCTTAATAAAATGTTTTTGAGAAAACCAAAAGTTAAACTTATTTATAATATTTGAACCCAGATTAAGAAAGATGAAGCATATTTAAATAACCATTGACATCATTGTCTACATTCATTGTCTACTATAATAAGAGCTAACTTCTGTTAAATGTTATCTTGGTGCTAGAAACTGTGCTCATTATTTTTTACAAGGATTAAACAACTTAATTTGCACAACAACTCTAAGATGTATGTTCTCTGTTCTTGTTTTGTAGATAAGGATGAGACTGCAGAGACGGTGCAGTTAAGTGACTTGCCCAAGACTACACAGTTAGGAAGTTTCTTAGCCACCTTACTACAGCTTCCTGCCAGGAAAGAGTATTATGCTAAGGGCCAGGACTGCAGAGAGACACACAGGGCTATAAAGAATGTAAAATTTCATATCTTGTCCCAGTAATTTAAAATGCTAGAACTGAGAGACTGCTATAAAGGGTAAGCCTCATAGTACATCTTTCAAATGATTTTTGCAGATTATGAACTGTAGTCCTGTGGAGGTGCCAGACAAAAGCATTGTTTTCTTCCCTCATTTCATCTTTAAATATTCATAATTAAGTTCTCTTAGTTTCCATTTGACTTTATACTATTTATACATTCCATCAAATCATTTTATGCTTGCTAGTAGTACTTTTTGGAATAATAGCATGTATAAATTTGGTCCTGACTAGAGCTACACCAAAATTGACTATCTGGCTTTAGTTTCATCTCTTAAAAGGCCAAAAGACCAAATGCTTACTTCCTGGCACTTTTGTATAATAAATGATTATATAATTGTGAATGTTATTATCATTTTTAATCAGCACAAAAATCAGTAATAAAAACATGTGATTCAGATCTGCTGTAAATAACTGAATATTTACTTTCAAATATAACTAAACATTCTAAACATAAATTTGAATGAAAATCTCTTTATAAGCCTTAAATTTGAATATTTGTAAGTTAACTGAAGAAGGAACATGTATTTATTATTGCAAGATTCAATAATTAATGATGACAGCTGTTAGGCTAGAGAAGAAGCTCTCAACCAGGGGTGAGTTTACTCCCCAGGGGACACTGTAGCTTCTGGAGGCATTTTTGATTGTCACACTGGTGCATGGGGTGAGGAGATGCTATTGGCATTTGGTAGGTAGACGCCAGGGATATCTTGCAATGCACAGGAGAGCTCCCTGTGTCAACAGTGCGAAGCTTCAAAAATCCTGGGCAAGAGGGACCCAAAAACCCAGGGTCAGGGTCATCCAGAAGAATCTAGGAATGCCTATCCAGCAAGAGCTGGAACCACTGAGAAGATACCATCTATGGCAGAGAGAGAGGGACAAACACCCCCACCTTCTTTTCTTTTGGCAGTGAGGTAAATGACCACAACAGGGAATAGGAAATAAGATGTTTTCCTATCAGTGTACTAAAGTTTCCATTTAGACTACTGTATGGATTAGAAAAAAGGCAGCCCCTCTGACTTGACAGAGCCCCTCTAGTACAGGGCTTGATAAATGGACCACAGGCTGGATTTCAGCTCCCATCTGTCCTCTCAACTGATTACCTTTGTGTAGCGCACAAACTATAAAACCTTACATGGTGGACCTGAATGTAAGCACTAGTCCAACTCATACCTTAAAACTTTATGCTGCTTTTAATAAATATGTGGTAACCATGAGAGAACTCATACTAAGAGGAATTAAAAAAAAAGAATAAAACAGATTGAAAAGAAGATCAAAGAAGAGGCAGCTAAAAATGAGATAGGGATTTGTGGGTTTATCTCAGAAGGGTAAGTTGCTAAATATTGGCTTTGTATGCCAGGAACCCAAGAAAAACACTAGAACAAAGAAAGACACAAGAAAAGATTAAAAGAGTAGGTTATCTTTAAAAGCTTGAGGAAAACAACTGTAACTGGGGAGGGGCAAGAGAAAAGAAAGGGAATGCCTATCTTGAGCTCCTACAGGTAAAGTCAGTTGGGAATTAATTTTGGTTTGCCAAAATTAAAATGGTTTGCCAATTTAATGAGGCACTGTCACCCATACACTTTGAAACCACAGACGAAATATTTGAGTTGAAGCTTATAAAGATTTGCCTTAATGATGGTTAATTAGTAAAATGGTGACTATCAAATAAGAGATAAAAGGAAACCAACTCAAGGAGTCACAGGAAAATTTATATAAACCACAGTGAATAATTTGTGCAAGATAAAGTCACCACATATCAAAAATAGTCTCAGACAAGGTTATAGATTTAGTTATAGAAAATATTGTAGAATATACTTATTCTCTGAAAAGGTATTTAAAAATGAAATATCTATTTCCTTGAGGTAGTTCTGAATAAAGACAGCAAGAAAAGAAGGTATGCTAAAAATAATATTTTGGAGTATTTCAAAGTAGGATGTGTACTCATCCCTCTGAGATGATTTAGTAAAGAAAATAGATATCTAAGATTAATATCTAAGATTTTTAACTCTTCTGCTCATGGCTGGTTTTACAGAGTCAGAAGAGATAGCCCTGACTAAAGTGATAGAAAGGGTGCTGGGTAAGTCCGCACAATCAAAAGTATCTTCTCCAGGGGCCTGCCAAAAGGTGTGACATTTTGCTCTTAAAGATTTCTTTGATTTGTTGTTGTTACAGTTAAAATACAATAACGCTCTCTGAGAGTTATAGCACATAACTTGTAGAAAATCATTAATTCCTTGGTGTTAATTAAATTTTTTGACAGTTATCTAGGAGAGGTTTACAGGGGACACAAAATTGCCTTTTGAAAGGGTTTCATTGATGGTCATTGCAACGGGCATGCTCAAAATCTGTGAGAGTATGAATGACTGTATTTGTAAATCATATACACACATACATAACCACAGACACATATATGTGAAGTGATAACTATATAATTATATACAAATATGTATGTGAATGTGTGTGTGTAAAACTAACTACACATATAACTAAATAGCTACATACCTGGTCTGGTATTCTGTCTGATCCATTGTATAAGTTCTTCCTGAGGCAAATTATTAAATTCCCCTATTATGCTCCATTGATTATGGAGGTTGGCACAACCTTGTACTGACATCACTGTTAGAATGCCAAAGATAACATTCTCAAAACGAACTCTGCAAAAAAGCCAGCCAAAGAGCTGAAATGAAAGAAATTATTTATTTATAATTCTTATATGAAGAGTGCTATAGAGTGTATAATAAATTGTCACCTTGCAACTTAAACTAAGGTGTATTATCCTTTGATATCAGTACACAAATATACAGAATTACCATCACCCATTGTTTAAAAACAATGAACATGTTGGAATTACAGGACCGAGGTAAAAATGGAGCTTTCTCTCTGCTCAAAAGAATTAAGGAAGGAATACCTGACCCTTCTAATACTGATTTATCACCAGGGATTAAGATTAGGAATGCACAATTGTGAAACATCCTAGAACAGCGATCCTTAACCTTTTTGACATCGGGGACCAGTTTCGTGGAAGACAGCTTTTCCACTGACTGGGGGACCCGGGATGGGTCCTGGAGGACCTCGCCGTCTTGGCTCCACCTCAGGCTTTGGATTCTCCAGGGGAGCGCAATTTGGAACCCTCGCGTGCGCAGTTTGCAGTGAGGTTCACACACATATGTGGGTCTGATGCCAGGCTGATCTGACGCAGGAGGTGTGGAGGGGCCACTCCAGCAGTGATGGGAGTGATGGGGAGCGGCTGTGGGTGCAGGTGGGGCTTTGCTTGCCTCCTGCTGTGAGGCCCGGTTCCTGGTGGTCTGCGGCCTGGGGGTTGCAGTCCTAGAACTAAATCTTTTAACATTGGCTGCCTTTTATGGAAATCTTGAATAACTAGGGGAACCCTATTAGCATTGTCAGGGATATTCCTCTCAGAAAAACAGGTGTTATGATATTTTAAGACAATACACTCGAAATCAAAACTATATAAGGTGTTTCCAGAAGTTCCTTAGTCCCAAAATTCTAGTTAATTTATCTAGCTATTTTGTATGCTATATAGAGTAATAGAATCCCAGAATTTTTTAGGGGTTCTCTGAGCCAAACAGGACTACACTACAGCAATCGCTCCGTATCTACTCCCGTCTTGGATAAGCAATTGAGGGTAGTTCTGGGGAGGCAGGAGACTCTTCCAACAGATCCGAGCTCCAAAAGATTATGTGTGTGGATAGGATGCTAACAGAGGGGAAAGTGAGCCTCATCACTTCTCACAGAAATATCTGTTAAAATCTAGAAGTGATTTTCAAAGCTATTGAAATTTCTTTTTCTACTCTATAGTGAATCATGAACATTTTAAATCATTTTATTAATAGTTATGTTAAAAACACTTAGTGTCTTGTGTTTTGAATTACTCAGCAAAGCCATGGTAACTACACCATAGCTGCTATAGTTATCACAGTGTAGTTATACAAGAATGAATTCCTTACCCGTCGAGAACACATCAAGGAAGCCATAATGCACATATGTGGTGTCAAAAACAGCTTCAGCCTCATAATTAAAATGGCAAGGGCAGTAAATGCTAACAACTGCAATGTGTGAAAAACCAGCTACAAAACACAAATAAAACAAAATGACATTTTTACTTTATACATTTTTAAATTAACAAATATAAAATATATTAAAACTATTATATTCACTAGAACAAGGATCTTCTAACTTAGTAATAAGTCTATTAACATTTACTCATTCATTCAACAAGGTTTATTCAATGCGTTCTATATTCTAGGTACCGGTCTGTGTGCTTTGGATACAAAAGAGAACAATTTCTGCCCTTGTGAGATTTATGTTTTGGTACATTCATTACGGAGAGACAGACAATCCACAGACATAGCAAATAAATAAACCCTTATATAATATTAGAAAGTAGTAAGTGCAATGGGGAAGAAAATGGAGCAGGGAAAGGAGCCAGAAAGTGTAGAAGGTGGTGTAAGGAGGTGGGGAAACCATCACGGTGGGGGGCCCATGGGATAGGTGACATTTGAGCAAGGACCTGCCCAAAGTGAGAGGTGATTCCTGGGGACAGAAACATATGAATGCTTCACAAAGGTACCTGTCATTCAGTGAACAGAAATCACAGCAGAACATAAAGTAGTGAAATTATATACATATTTGTATTAATTGGTAGGATACCCTATTAGGATCAAGGTAGGGTTACACTGAGTAAAGATTTCAAACAAAAATTTTCTAATATATTCATAACATATCTTCAACTTTTCACTAGAAAAATGGACAATGAATATGGGAAAATAATGCAACAAAAATTAAATGGCAACTAAATATTTATGTTCTAACTTGCTAATATTCAAACAAATTAAGTGTTAAAGATAGGTATTTTCATCTGTCAAACTGAAAAATATTAAATTAATACTGAATGTTAGAGAGATGCAATGAAACAAACACTGAAATAATAAGTTGATGAATTTCTATACTTTAAAAATATTTATCAAGGGCCTAGAAAAGAGCCAATCATTTTGACTTAAATTTCTATTCTAGGAATTTACTTAAGAGAATAATCAAAACACAAAGATGTTCTACAAAGATGATCATGGACTGTATTTTTAACAGCAAAAATGGGAAACGTTCTAAGTGGCTAAAATAGAGGAATAAGTAACTAAATTACTGCATATCCATTGGTATATAGCCACTAACAATTACATATTGGAATATTATTTAATGGCATGAAAAAGTTCTGAGGGTATAAAACTCTACATACAGAATGATATTAATTCTGTGAAAAACATCTAGGTATATATATATGCAAGGAGGTTGGCAGGGGGCAGAAAAGGTTAAGAAAACATACCAAAAAGTTAACGTTTTATTTCTGAATGGTAATTTTTCTGATTGAAAAAATTTTTAAACATGTCATATTTTAATCAGAAATACATTATATTTAAAGCAGAATGGTTAAAAAATCTACCCAAAGCTGTTTTATTTCATTTTTAAAATAAAGATGTTTAAAAATAGAATTTCTTACTTTTTTTCCATAATTCTTAGACACAATGTTGGAATGGAGAACATTTATTTCAAAATCAATCCTTCATTTTTCTTTAGTCAGACTCATCAAACAAAACCAGGGATATATCATAGAGGGAACAAAAAAGACCTATCACATTTCAAACTCAAATAGGTCCTTCTGCTTAAAACCACTAAATCACAGACTGGGAAATTACATGGGCCACCTTCTTTTATCACTATCCAAAACAGGCATCTCTTCTATAAATTGATGAACTGGATATTCACTATTTCCTAAACAGGGTTATGTCATAGGAATATGTACTATAATGCTGGATAGCTGTAAATTTTAGAAAATCTTTCCTAAAACTAAACCAGTATGTTTCTGTCACTTCCACAAAAGTGTGTAAAATTATTCTAAACCCATTTATGAATGAAAGTTCTCTATTATTTAAATATTGTAATTATGACTCTGCACTATTCCCACCTTCCCCCTTAGAAAGCTTTCTATTTTTAGGATAAATATTCATAAGACTTCGCTTATTAGTTCTGTATTATCCCAATTCTGGTTTCCCTTCTCTGGACATAGTACAGATTGTCTTAAAATGTGGCATCTAGAAATTGGCTATAATAGATATGGTCTAATCAATGCAACCACACATCTAATTTCTCCCAATACTCCTTCCTTTGGCTATTTTGTGCCACAGAATGACACTGTCATTTTCTCTCATATTCCATTCACTTCTACCTCAGCAACAAGTTTTCACACGATCACAATTAAATCCAAAGTAGTAATTCTTTTTGACTTTCTTCTGTTATCTAAGAGTTAGAAGAAGGGCTTTGTTTTCATATGAGGACTTGAATAAGCCCTACCATTTCCTTATCTTTCCTGTGTGTGTGTTTGTTTTTGTTTTTTTTGTGGCTGGATGACAGACTAGCAGCTATTCCTAATGGTATCACTTATGTTTGTTTTTCTGTTCTCTTCCAAATGCTCCTAACCATCCTCTACTCTCAGGCTCCTGACATACCGTACAGTTCTATCAGACAGATTTTTTTTTAGCAACTAAGTAGAGGACAGGAGGCTACAGTCAGACAGTATAGTCCAAAAATCTAGTACTACTACTATAAGTACACTACTGTCAACTTGTTAGTACCTCTTTCCATGTAAAAAATTATTAGGAAAATCTTCTCAACATTTTTTAGAGGCTGGAAGCAAGGCAGGAAGGAAACTGTTCACTATCAGTCTTTGGAATAAGTGAACCCAACAGGATAAAGTGTAAGGTAGCAACTACCAAGTGGAGAGAAAATGAGGATTACATGTCTAAGAGCAGTCCAAATGGCAGGATTGATCCTTTAAAAACTACCTCCAATGAAAGTTCAGAAATGTCACGTGAACAAGCTAAAGAGATTCCGCTTCATGGGCACAGTTAACAGAAGGCAGAATACTAGCTGGAGCCTCCTGACCTCTTGGTACAGAAGTCCCACTAATTGCACAGGGGAACATTTACACAGTGCTCAGCTTATATGAGGCATTATTCTAAGTACCCTACATGTAATTCATTTAATCCCTAGAAGCCATATGAGACAGGTACTGTTATTATTGTTCCCCGAACGACATTAAGCAATTTAGCCAAGATCACATAGTAAGTGGGAGAACTAGGATCTGAGTCCAGTCTCGCTCCTGAGTCTATGCCTTTACCACTATTATGCTTCCTCTCCAAATAAACTATTGATCAACATGGTCAATTAGGCTGTTAACACGGAAGTGAAAATACCTCCAAACACATATCACTCAATCAGTTTCTCAAAAACAGTAATTCTCCCTCTAAATTCGGTATCATTTCACTCCTTTAATAGAATACTTCCATATTGATTGAGATACCTTCACAGCTGCTTGTCACAAAAAACCCTTCTGTTAAGTCATAGAAAAACCTTGTTTGTAATAGAAAACACAGACTCAACTGACTTAAAATATAAAGGGTCAAATATAAACTGATCAAATGATATAATGAACTGTAGGGATTAGAAAAAAAAGTGAAGGCTGATACAGGACTGACTGTTACGGACAAAATGAGATGTGAGTGTGTCAAAAGCATAGTTGGGCAGAGAATACGCTCAATATTATCTTTCCACAGCCTATCTTCACACTAATTCCTTATAGTCACGATGGCATTCTGGCAGTAAATATTGTTCCTAACTCTCCTTCCCTTCTTTCTCTTCTTGAATTACTAGGTATGTCTTCACAAATTTCTAAGCCCATAAAAAAAATTGGTTAAAAGGTACTAATTTGACAAAATAAACATTTTAGATTAGGAAAAATTACAACAGAATCCTTTAACGAGTTTTAATAATCAATATCATAAGAGTAGGGAGATATCCTAGGGGTTTATTTAGTGAGTTGAGAGATGCAGACTGTCCCTGACCCAGAGTACTGGCAGAAAGCAAGCAATCTAACACTCACTCCCTGATGATAAAATTATCCTAGCGAATCCTCCCCTAATCCCGAAACACACTGGGATGTACATCTTTGGTCATCACACCACAGTCGCAGTGAGCAGCACCCTCGGTACTACTCCTTTCACACCTGCTTCTCCCTAAACAGAAAACAGTTCCTGTCTCCAAAGCCATGTGGGAGAGATTAATCAAGTGAGTCCAAAGAGGGAATGGGATAAGGATATACGACTCTACATTAGCACTGCACTGAAATTTATCATTTCCTTCCATACAATCTATTTCTAGAAATTTAAATTTCTAATCTGCCTGTGCATCAGGAGTTTTGCATACTCTGTTAAGATATTTGCTGCCACTGTCCTCCTGCTAGTCAGCTTCACTTCTGTTTGCCTTTTTTAAAAACACCTGCTTTACTGCCAACAGACCTAAAAACTCAGATACGACCTTACCATCTCCTGCTTAACAATAAAGTCCAGAATGAAGCCCAGATTCTTTGTGTACAAAGCCTCTATAGTCGGAACCCTGCCCACTTTTCCAGTCTCATTTTCTGCTACTGTTTGCCTTTTTTGTATATCAGCAACACATTTGCTTGCAGCACCGAACATATTACCTTATGCCTTCTTTGCACATGCATATCTTTTGACCCCGGTATTCCTTTTGACCTCTTCCTCCTCTAAAGTCATTTCTACAAAAATGTTTCCCCAACTACCCCACCCCCTTCATATAGATTTAATCACTTCTTCTTCTGTACTACTTTTGTATCTACTTTTACCATTGTACATATAATTATCTATGTACATTATTTAATCTTCCCCCACTATACTGTAAATTCATTAAAGTAAGGACTTGATATATAGCAGGCATATAATAAAGACTGAACTGTTAAGTACACAGAAGTGGTAGAAAAAGAAAATGTACAAAATAAGAATAAATGAAGAAATGAAAGACAATGAGAAAGTAGCAAAATAATGTGAGAAATAAAGACAGAAAATTAAGGAATATTGTTTCTAAAAAGAGGTGGGTTTTAGATACTATATGTTAAAATATAAAGCATGAATATGTACTAATAAGTAAAATTGGGTAATGTTACATTTTATGATTGATTTACATAAAGGCCATTTAAATTAGGTACTAGTAGAATGAA